ACATGGTTATGGTAATTTGAGGGAGTATTATGTTCTTTTTTGATTTATATTAATATTTCTAATAGCTCGTCTAATTTGTTCATCAATAATATAATTAGGAATTTTGTTATTAATGAGAGCTTAATGTTTTTAATTTACTGTAGAAAATTTTAGAGTTTATTTTATTTTAATATAGTAGGTTGACATGTTTAGGGTTATTTGAGCTTGTGTTATATTCTTTTTGATTTATGTTAAATAATAATAGTTCGCCTAATGTATTCATGAACAATTTGATTAGAAAAGTCACTATTAATGAGAGTTTGTTTAATATTTTTTTAATTCAGTGTAGTTTTTTTGGTTTCGTTATAGACTTAACTTTTGCATGGTTTATTAAATTTTGTATAATAGCTGTTTTGTAACAGAACATTCACTTTTAGAGTTGAGAGTGCACGTGTTTATGCTAGTAGTTTATATATATATATATATATATATATTCACGAATCATTCATATAAAAACAAATATAGAGGTTAATGATTTAAATGGCGAGAATACATCGTCGCAAACAATATAAATAAGATACACCAACCCCGAACCTGTATATGAATGATATGATCCCCGTTTACAAATTCCATTTGTATAAGGTCTTTTTAATTTTTTACAAGCTTTCGTCTGTTCCTACAGACATCATCAGTTATGGAAATAGATTTTGTTCTTGTTTTTACTTCTCGGTAATAAGAGGACAACGAAAATAGAGATGTAATCCGAAAAAATGCTATGAGAAATGTGTTATTGTTTTGGAACGTGCGGTCGCAACGCTGAGTTTGAATTTAAATTTTAAGGTTGTGCGTTTTTGCACAAATATAACAATAAGAGAATTCTTTTTTACTGGTAGATTTTCCGTCAATATGGCATGAACTATATTGTTCAATAATTACAGTAATGTCACACTTATTATCCGAAAGTTGCACGTTGTATCAGTTATTTTAATTTCAATTAAAAGGTGCAATTATAATTTATAAATTCATGAATCATTCATACAAAAAACAAATATAGAGGTTAATGATTTAAATGGCGAGAATACATCCTCGCAAACAATATAAATAAGATACATCAACCCCGAACTTGTATATGAATGATATGATCCCTGTTTATAAATTCCAGTTGCATAAGGTCTTTTTAATTTTTTACAAGCTTTCGTCTTTTCCATATATATATATATATATATATATATATATATATATATGGAGTTAGTAAATGTAATATTATTAGTATCTATCAATATATCAAGAAAATGAATTATATTGTTATTGTTAAGTTCATATATGTGTTTAAGTACGGAGGTTTTGTGTTTTTTTTGGGTGGGGGGGAGTTTTGGTTGTTCATATATTTCATCCATGTTTTAAACAAAGATGAGAATATCCTCTACATACCTTAGGTAGATGGGGGGATTCTTAAGGATTTTAAATATCTTACTTTCAAAAGTAGTTTCCGTAAAAATGTTACGCTTAATTTTTAATGGCGGGAGAGATTAATCGTTGTAAATATTCTTTATATGTATATTCATCGTTTCTCTTACTGGGACATTGGTAAATAAACTTTCAACATCAAGTGAAGCTATGGTTTCATTATTAGGTTTTTGTGTTTTAAGATTTGGATGAGTTTGTCAGTTGATTTAATGCTTTATTTATTAGTTAATAGCAGCCATATCCAGTTGGTGGATCAGAAAAAGCGTTCAATTAGAATGGAGCATAAACAGCATCAACTTTAGATGTAACTCTTGCATATTAATTTCATTATCACTTTGTTTGGGGTTAAAGGATTAAAAAAAAAACAAAAAAGAAAAGAGACATGATGGAACTAGAAAAAAAAAACCAAATTTTTTTAAATTAATTTTTGACAAGTATTTCATATGATTTTATGCCAAAGAGAAATATCCTGAAGTTATTATTAACTAGCAGCCATATCCAGTTGGTCGATCAGAAAAAGCGTTCAATTAAAATGGAGCAAAAACAGCATCAACTTCAGATATAACAGAGTCTATCTTCTTCAATTACTTTAAAGTACTTTCTTTAAAAATCATTTTGAATTAATGCAGTTACTGATATAACAGTAGTTTGTATTTATTTAAACGAATCGATAAACATAAGGTGTGCTAAAATCAACAAGTGTATTAATCCACGCTAAAACAAGCAGATATCTTTTATACATTCTTCTAGTTGTTTTATATAGTTTAGATCGTATGACATGGACTTAAAAACATAAGGTATGCTAAAATCAACAAGAGTATTAATCCACACTAAAAAAGAAGCTATATTTTATATACATCATATATATATATCAGAAGCAGATAAACAAACTGAAAAATAACCAATCTTAACCAAATGTAACCAATTTACCCCCACTCTTCGATATCAACCGTAATAAATTCTTGAAAAGTATTTGAACATTATAGGATACTAGTAGCCATATCTAGTTGGTCGATCAGAAAAAGCATTCAATTAGAATGGAGCAAAAACAGCATCATGTTTACATGTAACAGAGTCTATCTTCTTCAATTATTTTAAAGTGCTTTCATTAAAAAAAACATTTTGAATTCATGCAGTTACTGATATAACAGAAGTCGTCTGTATTTATTCAATCGAAGTTAGCCGAGGACATGAAGGAGTAAAACAGGCAACATGAAAACCCACTTCAGACCACAATTATTTTGGAGTTTTTGAAATTCAATTTGTCGGTGTGCTTACAGAGATGTAAAAGAGGATACATTTATAAAGCAATTTTTAAGTTTGATGAAAATTGGTTGAAAGATCAACTAAAAATAAGAAAGAAACAAGTAAAAATCGCCATTTTTTGCTATTTACGCGGGTTTTCACTATATCGGTGGACACAATTATCAAGTTAAATGACTGTTAAACAATCAACTTATTGTTGGCTACAATTGCGTGAACTTTGTATTAGGTTGCTCGAAAATTGAGGGAGTTTTTAGTTTAAAATTTGTGTTGAATTTTTTTTTTTAATTTTTTTTCTTCGCCGTTTTTTACTAAACGCAGTAGCGTAGATATAAAAATTATGTATCGTTGAGCTCGTCATTACATCATGACGTGCTCAGCCGAGTTTGAACGAAAATCGGAGGAAAAAAGTTGAATTTTTTCGATTTTTGATCAGCTTTATTGATTATTGTTTTTTTAAAAATTATCGATTTTAACGCTAAGACCCTAACTCTTACATTGTACAATACCAAGTTTGGTCAAAATCGGTGGGATGGATCTCAAGTGAAAAGGTATCAAATAGACAGACACAGAAACATCCTCTTTTTTATATAGAGATATGTATGGTGTAACAGGAAGTACGGTAGAGTAATGGATAGCGGCTCGGATTGAGGAATCGGACAGCCGAGTTCGTTTTCCAGTCGGGTCCATTCCATTTACTTACGTGCTAATACCCTTGGGACAAGATATGAAACCTTTTCTTCTCTGCCAGCTATGGGTCATAGCAGAACAAACTGGGTTTTGAATTCAGATTTTTCTAGGAGAAGGAAAAATGTGAGTGCAAAACCGTCAGGCTATCTTGCCCAAGAAACACCACTTTTACTGTAGCTGCAGTACACATGGTGCTCCTACGGGTCACGGGATAAAAAAAAATGGTGCAATGAGTTCGGTTAATTAATAAACCGGAGTGGGGATTTGGGTTATTGTCTTACCATCCTTGGTGCGTTCGCCTCTCTCTTTCAATCTTTCTTTCTTTCTTCTCTCTCTCTCTCTCTCTCTCTCTCTCTCTTACTCACACACCCACTCTCTATCTCTCTCACACACTCGGACTTTTCTCTCTCACTCACACACTCTCTCTCTCTCTCTCTCTCACACACACACATACACACACACTCTTTAACTCTTTCTCTCTCTCTCACATACACACACACTCTTTGACTCTATCTCTCTCATACGCACACATACACACTCTCTCTCTCTTTGACTCTTTCTCTCTCTCTCTCTCTCTCACATACACACACTCTCTTTGACTCTTTCTCTCTCTCTCTCTCTCTCTCTCTCTCTCACAAACACACACATTTTTGACTCTTTCTCTCTCTCACACAATCTCTCTGACTATTTCTCTCTCTCTTACACGCCCACTCTGTCTCTGACTTTTCTCTCTCTCTCTCTCTCACACACACACACACTCTCGTTCACACACACACACTCTCTTTGACTCTTTCTCTCTCCCTTACACACAAACTCTCTCTCTCTTTCTCTCTCATTCACACACACACACACTCTCTTTGACTCTTTCTCTCTCTCTCTCTCTCTCACACACACACACACAAACACTCTCTCTCTTTGACTCTCTCTCTTTGACTCTCTATCTATCTATCTATCTATCTATCTATCACTATGTATTTTTATAGTTCTATACACGTATCCAGGTTTGTAGTCACCAATTATTTTGGGAAGTTTTAAATTGCCTTCTTCCGCGTTTGTTGATTTTCAGTTTCAATTTTGTTATTAGGATTTTTTTCTTGGGCTTTTTTACATTTGGCGTGGTCGTCAAATATTTGTTGTAATTTTGAATTATAATCAGATTTATTTAATACAACGTAGATATTGGTTTTATCTCCTTTCATATATATATATATATATATATATATATATATATATATATATATATATATATATATGGAGACAGTTAAAAGAGGAAACAAAGGTAGAGGACATCAGTATAAAATCAAGGAAACACATATTGACCGACAGACTGACATATAAAACCACATGCACTTCACATAGAAGCAAACAACGAGAGAATCAAATGGACAAATCGATTTCTCTTTGAACGCGGGAGAAGCCAATCTTACCTAAGAAAGGATTACGTGTCCGGCAATGAATATCATGTCTGTCGGGATGACGGGAGGGACGGAGAACCACTAGCGAAGGGAAAGAAAGATTGTCAAAGATAATAAATATCTGTAACTGGTAGCAAGGTTCGGGAAAACATAAAAAGTTAATAGAAAATGGGACCTTCAAATTTGATGCAACTCCAGGTAATATTCACTCAAGTCATACACCTATCTATCTATCTATCTATCTATCTATCTATCTATCGTTGTCATACATCTATCTATCTATCTATCTATCTATCTATCTATCTATCTATCCTTGTCATACATCTATCTATCTATCGTTGTCCTACATCTATCAATCTATCTATCTATATATCGTTGTCATACATCTATCTATATCATACATCTATCTATCTATCTATCTATCTATCTATCTATCTATCTATCTATGTCATACACCCATCTATCTGTCTGTCTGTCTATCTATCTATCTATCAATGTATCGTTGTCATACATTTATCTATTTATCTATCTTTGTCATACATCCATCTATCTATCCATCTATCTATCGTTGTCATACATCTGTCTATCTATCTATCTTTGACATACATCTATCTATCTATCGTTGTCGCACATCTATCTATCGTTGTCATATATCCATCTATCTATTTATCTATCTATCTTTGTCATACATCTATCTATCTATCGTTGTCATCCATCCATCTATCTATCTCTCGTTGTCATACATCTATCTATCTATCATTGCCATACATCTATCTACTATCGTTGTCATACATCTATTATCTATCTATCGTTGTCATACATGTATCTATCGTTGTCATCCATCCATCTATCTATCTCTCGTTGTCATACATCTATCTATCTATCTATCTATCATTGTCATACATCTATCTACTATCGTTGTCATACATCTATTTTCTGTCTATCGTTGTTATATATATATCTGTCTATCGTTGCCATACATCTGTCTATCTATCGTTGTCATACATCTATCTATTTATCTATCATTGTCATACATCTATCTATCGTTGTCATACATCTATTATCTATCTATCGTTGTCATATATCTATCTATCGTTGCCATACATCTGTCTATCTATCGTTGTCATACATCTATCTATCGTTGTCATACATCTATCTATTTATCTGTCATTGTCATACATCTATCTATCGTTGTCATACATCTATTATCTATCTATCGTTGTCATATATCTATCTATCGTTGCCATACATCTGTCTATCTATCGTTGTCATACATCTATCTATCGTTGTCATACATCTATCTATTTATCTATCATCGTCATACATCTATCTACCGTTGCCATACATCTATCTATCTATCGTTGTCATGCATCTATCTGTCTATCGTTGTCATATATCTATCTATCGTTGTCATACATCTATCTATCGTTGGCATACATCTATCTATCTATCGTTGTCATACATCTATCTATCTATCTATCTATCTATCGTTGTAATTATGTGTTTATTTCGGCCCGTTCGTTTCTTCCTTTTATTCCATCGCAAGTGCATCGCTCGAGCTAGCTATTTGCCTTTCCATCCTTGGTGCGTTCGCCTCTCTCTCTCTCTCACACAAACCGCCACTCTCTCTCTCTCTCTCTCACTCTCTTCTTTCTCCGCCATTGATCCCTTCCTTCCTTTAATATCTCTCCCCGTCTCTCGTCTATCTATTCCTTCTTTTCTTCGTTCCTTCCTCTCTTCATTTCATAGTGATCTTCCTTCCTTTTTTGCACCCTCGTCAATGCCTTTCTTCCTTTTCTCTGTCATCGATCCCTTCCTTCCTTCCTTCCTTCCCTTTCTCTTGTTGGCCAGTTCGTCCGCACGTCGGTCTGCTCATTGTCTTGGTGTCTCTCTATTTCTCTCTCTCTATCTCTCTTTCTCTCGCGGCGCGCGGGCGCGTACGCACAGGTTTCATTCGATTAACCTTTTCTTTGTTTTTACGTTCATTTAAATTCCTCTCTTTCTTTCTTTCTTTCTTTCTTTCTTTCTTTCTTTCTTTCTGTTCGAATTCAACGACCTCTGAACATCGCCAAATGGGAAGCTGAAGTCGCGTTTTTCTTTCTATTTAATTCATTTTTACTGATATAATATAATTGACTTTGATCTAATTGACTTTGAGTGATGTCTTTATTCTGATTTTCATCATCATAAATAAAACATATTACTGTCATTATTATTTATGAATCAACCAATTTAAACTACTTTGAAGGCATTTTCATAAAAAGATCAGCGTCAATGCATTTATTCTGAATGCATTTTCATTAAAAATTTGGTCAGTTTTCATCACTTGGTCAATGCAAAGCTGCTTACAAACATTGACATTAATAACATAACATGTGTTTTTCATATATATCAATCAATCAACCAAACTAATAAAAATCATTTGTCAATGCATTTTCATAAAAAAATCATTGGTCAATGCATTTTCAATGCATTTTCATAATAAAAATCATTGGTCAATGCATTTTCATAATAAAAATCATTGGTCAATGCAATTTTCAATGCATTTTCAAATAAAATCATTGGTCAATGCAATAATAAAAAATCATTGGTCAATGCATTTTCATAATAAAAATCATTGGTCAATGCATTTTCATAAAAAAAATCATTGGTCAATGCATTTTCATAATAAAAATCATTGGTCAATGCATTTTCATAATAAAAATCATTGGTCAATGCATTTTCATAATAAAATCATTGGTCAATGCATTTTCATAATAAAATCATTGGTCAATGCATTTTCATAATAAAATCATTGGTCAATGCATTTTCATTAAAATCATTGGCAATGTATTTTCAGAATAAAATCATTGGTCAATGTATTTTCATTGGTCAATGCATTTTCAGAATAAAAATCATTGGCCAATGTATTTTCATAATAAAAATCATAGGCAAATGCATTTTCATAATAAAAATCATTGGCAATGCAATTTCATAATAAAATCATTGGTCAATGCATTTTCATAATAAAAATCATTGGTCAATGCATTTTCATAATAAAAATCATTGGTCAATGCATTTTCATAATAAAAATCATTGGTCAATGCATTTTCATAATAAAAATCATTGGTCAATGCATTTTCATAATAAAAATCATTGGTCAATGCATTTTCATAATAAAAATCATTGGTCAATGCATTTTCATAAAAATAAAAATCATTGGTCAATGCATTTTCATAATAAAAATCATTGGTCAATGCATTTTCATAATAAAAATCATTGGTCAATGCATTTTCATAATAAAAATCATTGGTCAATGCATTTTCATAATAAAAATCAATCAATGTATTTTCATAATAAAAATCATTGAATGCAATTTCATAATAAAATTTGGTCAATGCAATTTCATAAAAAAATCATTGGTCAATGCATTTTCAAATAAAAATCATTTTTTTCATAATAAAAATCATTGGCGAATGCATTTTCATAATAAAAAATCATTGGTCAATGCATTTTCATAATAAAAATCAATGTCAATTTCATAATAAAAATCATTGGCCAATGCATTTTCAGAATAAAAATCATTGGTCAATGCATTTTCATAATAAAAATCATTGGTCAATGCATTTTCAGAATAAAAATCATTGGTCAATCATTGCATTTTTCATAATAAAAATCATTGGTCAATGAAATAAAATCATTTTGCATTTTCATAAAAAAATCATTGGTCAATGCATTTTCATAATAAAAATCATTGGTCAATGGTCAATGCATTTTCATAATAAAATCATTGGCGAATGCATTTTCATAAAAAAATCATTGGTCAATGCATTTTCAGAATAAAATCATTGGCCAATGCATTTTCATAATAAAATCATTGGCCAATGTATTTTCAAATAAAAATCATTGGCAAATGTATTTTCATAAAAAATCATTGGTCAATGCATTTTCATAAATAAAATCATTGGCATAAAAATAAAATCATTGGTCAATGCATTTTCATAATAAAAATCATTGGTCAATGCATTTTCATAATAAAAATCATTGGTCAATGCATTTTCATAATAAAAATCATTGGTCAATGCATTTTCATAATAAAAATCATTGGCGAATGCATTTTCATAATAAAAATCATTGGTCAATGCATTTTCAGAATAAAGATCATTGGCCAATGTATTTTCAGAATAAAGATCATTGGCCAATGTATTTTCAGAACAAAAATCATAGGCAAATGTATTTTCATAATAAAAATCATTAGCCAATGCATTTTCATAATAAAAATCATTGGCAATGCAATTTCATAATAAAATCATTGGTCAATGCATTTTCATAATAAAAATCATTGGTCAATGCATTTTCATAATAAAAATCATTGGTCAATGCATTTTCATAATAAAATCATTGGTCAATGCATTTTTTCATAATAAAAATCATTGGTCAATGCATTTTCATAATAAATTTTCATCATTGGCAATGCATTTTCATAATAAAAATCATTGGCCAATGCATTTTCATAATAAAAATCATTGGTCAATGCATTTTCATAATAAAAATCATTGGTCAATGCATTTTCATAATAAAAATCATTGGCAATGCATTTTCATAATAAAAATCATTGGTCAATGCATTTTCATAAAATCATAATAAAATCATTGGTCAATGCATTTTCATAATAAAAATCATTGGTCAATGCATTTTCATAATTCATTGGTCAATAAAATAAAAATCATTGGCCAATGCATTTTCATGCAAAAATCATTTCAATATTTTCATAAAAAATCATTGGCCAATGCATTTTCATAGTAAAAATCATTGGCCAATGCATTTTCATAATAAAAATCATTGGCCAATGCATTTTCATAATAAAAATCATTTTTCATAATAAAAATCATTGGCCAATGCATTTTCAGAATAAAAATCATTGGTCAATGCAAAAAATAAAAATCATTGGCCAATGCATTTTCATAATAAAAATCATTGGCCAATGCATTTTAAAAAAAATCATTGGCAAATGCAATAAAATAAAAAAATCATTGGCCAATGCATTTTCATAATAAAAATCATTGGTCAATGCATTTTCATAATAAAAATCATTGGCCAATGCATTTTCATAATAAAATCATTGGCCAATGCATTTTCATAATAAAATCATTGGTCAATGCATTTTCATAATAAAAAATCATTGGTCAATGCATTTTCATAATAAAATCATTGGTCAATGCATTTTCATAATAAAAAATCATTGGCCAATGCATTTTAATAAAAATCATGCATTTTCAATGCATTTTCAAAAAAATCATTGGTCAATGCATTTTCATAATAAAATCATTGGTCAAATTTTCATAATAAAAATCATTGGTCAATGCATTTTCATTAAAAAATCATTGGTCAATGCATTTTCATAAAATCATTGGTCAATGCATTTTCATAATAAAATCATTGGTCAATTTTTCATAATAAAAATCATTGGTCAATGCATTTTCATAATAAAAATCATTGGTCAATGCATTTTCATAATAAAATCATTGGCAAATGCATTTTCATAATAAAAATCATTGGCCAATGCATTTTCATAATAAAAATCATTGGTCAATTTTTCATAATAAAAATTGGTCAATGGCATAATTTTCATAATAAAAATCATTTCAATGCATTTTCATAATAAAAAATTGGCCAATGTATTTTCAGAATAAAGATCATTGGCCAATGTATTTTCAGAACAAAAATCATAGGCAAATGTATTTTCATAATAAAAATCATTAGCCAATGCATTTTCATAAAAAATCATTGGCAATGCAATTTCATAATAAAATCATTGGTCAATGCATTTTCATAATAAAATCATTGGTCAAATGCATTTTCAAAAAAATCATTGGTCAATGCATTTTCATAATAAAAATCATTGCATTTTTCAATGCATTTTCATAATAAAAATCATTAGCCAATGTATTTTCATAATAAAAATCATTGGCAAATGTATTTTCATAATAAAATCATTAGCCAATGCATTTTCATAATAAAAATCATTGGCCAATGCATTTTCATAATAAAAAATCATTGGTCAATGCAATTTCATAATAAAAATCATTGGTCAATGCATTTTCATAATAAAAATTTGGTCAATGCATTTTCATAATAAAATCATTGGTCAATGCCAATTTGTATTTTCATAATAAAAATCATTGGCAATGCATTTTCAAATAAAATCATTGGTCAATGTATTTTCAGAATAAAATCATTGGTCAATGTATTTTCAAATAAAATCATTGGTCAATTTTCATAATAAAAATCATTAGCAATGCATTTTCATAATAAAAATCATTTGCCAATGCAGTTTCATAATAAAAATCATTTGCCAATGCATTTTCATAATCATTGGTCAATGCATTTTCATAATAAAAATCATTGGTCAATGCATTTTCATAATAAAAAATCAATGCATTTTCATAATAAAAATCATTTGCCAATGCATTTTCATAATGAAAATCATTAGCCAATTCATTTTCATAATAAAAATCATTGGTCAATGCATTTTCATAGTAAAAGTCATTGGTCAATGCATTTTCATAATAAAAATCATTGGTCAATGCAAAATAATAAAATCATTGGCCAATGCATTTTCATAAAATCATTGGTAAAATAAAAATCATTGGTCAATGCATTTTCATAATAAAATTTTTCAAAAAATTGGCCAATGCATTTTCATAATAAAAATCATTGGCGAATGCATTTTCAAAAAATCATTGGCAATGCATTTTCATAATAAAAATTGGTTGTATTTTCAAATAAAAATCATTTTCATTTTCAGAATAAAATCATTGGCAAATGCATTTTCATAATAAAAAAACATTGGCAAATGCATTTTCATAATAAAATCATTGGCCAATGCATTTTCATAATAAAAATCATTGGCCAATGCATTTTCATAGTAAAAACTCATTGGCCAATGCATTTTCATAATAAAAATCATTGGCGAATGCATTTTCATAATAAAAATCATTGGCAATGCATTTTCATAATAAAATCATTGGTCAATGCATTTTCATAATAAAAAATCATTGGTCAATGCATTTTCATAATAAAATCATTGGTCAATAGTAAAAAA